TCATATCCATCTGTCTGTCTATCATCTATTATATACACTTAGCACACCCCTGGAAGTGTCCAAGGCCAGGCTGGATGGGGCTTGGAGCAATGTGGGACATTGCCCATGGCAGGGGGTGGGATGGGATGAGCTTTGATGTCCCTTCCAACCTAAAGCACTCTGTGATTCCACATAGATTAATGCATATTTTATAGAACAGTATATATATATATACATATATATATGATACAATTGTGTGTGTGTGTATTTATAGACACTTTTGATACAATTGTGTGTGTATATATACACTTATTTGATATAATTGTGTGTGTATATATACACACTTTTGATATAATTGTGTGTGTGTATATATACACCTATTTGATGTAATTGTGTGTGTATGTACACATTTGATATAAGTGTGTTTGTATATACACATATCTGATGTAAGAGTCTACTGTGGTGTTACAGTAAAACAAACTAAGAAGGGGATTCAGCTTGGGGCAGATGTTTCTGTGGAGGATTTAAAACTTCCCTTAATGCTCCATTTCTGGAGGCCCAAGGCTGACAGGGAGCTGAGCAGCTCCCCCAAATCCTCAGCCAGCGCGTTCCAAGCTCTGCACACCCAGTGGCACCAGCACCCCAACCTTGCTGTGGAATCTGGGGAGCAGCATCCTTGTCCATGAGGGATGGAGGGGAGCAGGGGGCCTGGCACGGGGGTGGAAGGAGATGAGCTTTGAGGTCCCTTCCAGCCCAGACCATGCTGGGACTCTGGGCTGGTTCCCCAGCAGTGCTGGGGGAGCTCCAGGCACAGCAGCACGAAGGGATGTGACCCAGGTTTCCAGAGCCGTCCCCAGGGATGTCATGGCTCTGCAGGCCCTGCACAGTGACAGTGACTCCTGGGGGTGGCTCCCTGCTGCACCAGGAGCACTTCAGAGCAGGGGGAGCTTCATCTGAGCAGGAGCCTTGGGCACTGCTGTGAACTGACCCAGCGAGGCCTCAGGGCTGTCCCGGGGTGCTCTGTGGTGGAATCATGGAACCAGTGAGATTGGAAAAGCCCTCTGAGGTCATGGAATCCAAGCATTAGCCCAGCACCACCGTGCTGTTGGGTGTTAACATCCAGCTGGGGAAACTGAGGCACAAAGCAGAGAGCCGTGTCTGGTCTGGCGTTCCAGAGCACAGTTCCCTATGGGATACGGGTCTCTCCAGACCCAATCTCTAGTCTAGCTTTATCCTCCTCACAGAGGGACAGCAGCCAGGAATTGAACCAAACTAGCTGAGATTTTAAAGAATTCGTTCCTGATCCCCCCTCTCTGCACTGGGTGCAGCAGCCGCCGATGGTTACAGCCCCCAGCCCTCCACTCACACACCAGCTCCGAATTGACCGCCGAGAATTCCCAACACTTCTGTGAAGGGCTGAATACACCCTGCTAGCACGGCCTGTGCCAAAACCGAGCCACGAATGCATTGAGCTTTGTGTAATAAAACACGGAACAGTCCCAATAAATTCTTGCTGCGCTTTTCAAGGCTGCCGCTGTCGCCCTGCGGAGTTTGGGGGCTGCGGAGCGGCCGATCCGCGGGTGAGCGCTGCCATCCTGTGGCGGCCGCACGGAAAACACCGCGGGCATCGCTGCATCCCTGCATCCCCGGTGGTCCCGGCATCCCTGTGCTCCCCAGAATGGCTGGGCTCCCCAACATCCCTGATAGTCCCCATCATCCCCGTGCTCCCCAATATCCCTGGTGGTCCCCAATATCCCTGTACTCCCCAGCATCCCCGATGGTCCCAGCATCCCCCATGGTCCCCAGCATCCCCGTGTTCCCCAGCATCCCTGAGAGTCCCCATCATCCCTGTGCTCCCCAGAATCGCTGGGGTCCCCCAACATCCCTGATAGTCCCCAACATCCCTGTGCTCCCAACATCCCTGTGCTCCCCAATATCCCTGTCCTCCCGAATACCCTCTGTGCTCCCCAATATCCCCGTGCTCCCCAGCATCCCCATGCTCCCCAGAATCCCCATGTTCCCCAGCATCTCTATGCTCCCCAATATTTCCTGTGCTCCCCAGCATCCCTGATTGTCCCCAACATCCCTGTTCTCCCAACACTCCTGTGCTCCCCAATATCCCCTGAGCTCCTCAGCATCCCCGATGGTTCCCAGCATCCCCGTGCTCCCCAGCATCCCTATGCTCCCCAATATCCCCTGTGCTCCCCAATATTCCCTGTGCTCCCCAGCATCCCTGATGGTCCCCAGCACCCCTGTGCTCCCCAACATCCCTGTGCTCCCCAATATCCCCTGTGCTCCCCAATATTCCCTGTGCTCCCCAGCACCCCTGTGCTCCCCAACATCCCTAATGCTCCCCAACATCCCTGTGTGTGGATGCCATGGGACAGAGGGAAACAGCAAGCGTTTGTGAGAAGTTTCAGAGAGCTGGAAAGATATGATAAGTTGTTGACTATTAACAATTTGCAGGTGCTGTTTTTCTACTTTATTTTTCTGTTCCTCTCAAGGACAGTGTGTGAGAAAGATGTTTCTGTTAGTTAGCCAATAGAACAGAATCTATTGTACCACTCTATAAAAACCATGCAGTTCTTTTGAATAAAACCTTCTTTGCCTTTTCTACCATCCTGCCTCTGCCCGTTCCTGCCCTGGCCCCAGCACATGAGTGACACCTGTGCTCCCAACATCCTCGTGCTCCCAACATCCGTGTGCTCCCCAACATCCCTGTGCTCCCCAGCATCCCTGTGCTCCCAACATCCATGTGCTCCCCAACATCCCCATGCTCCCAACATCCCTGTGCTCCCCAGCATCCTGACCCGTCTCCACACTGGTCTGTCCCAGTGAATGAACCTGGTGATTTTGCACAGCTGCTTGGGATGTGGTTGCCCAGGAGAGCGAGGCCTTAATGCTTTTTTTGCTTAAATTTGGCCAGCAGTGTTAAAAAAGGAGACACACAAGTGAGTCTGTCCCATCTCCAGCCTCCCCTTGCTCATCCACCTCCCCTGAGCAGGCAGAATTTATGAATTTATGTGCAGCAGTGAGTTTGTTCAAGTGAAAGTGTCCCCAGGCAGATGTTTCCACCACAGGAATGTCAGCCTGGCCTCAGGAATTATCTTTTGTGTCTGTTTGAGCAGGCCATGGAGAGAGCTTCAGCCTTCCTCACTCCTGTTCCAGTGATGCTGTCACAGGGTTAAACGTGCTTTAGGGCCAGTGCTGGTGCTGTCAGAGGTTCCCCAGGCTGCAGCAGCAGAATTCACCAGAGGGTTTAGGAACTTGCACATTTTCCCTCTCTGCTCACATTCCTGGCCTGGTGCTGTTTTCTGTCTGCTCCTGTGGGGAGCGGGAGCTGGGTCGGCACCACGACCATGGATCAAGGCAGGGGTGATTTCAGGGGGAAGAAAGGAGGTGGAAATCCTGGCTGCTCCCAGCAGAATTCCCAAGGGTTTGCCTGGGAGGGGAAGGCGAAGGGACACCTCAGCTGCCACCACTGGTGTCCTTGCTCCCTGCTGGCTGCTTTGGGGTGAGCGGCAGAGTTTCAGGGAATTGTGTCCAGGCAGGAGCTATGCAGGCATTCTGTGGCAGCCTGTGAGCAGAGCCTGCCACAATCCAGCAGTGCAAGTCAGTGGGAGCATCTGAAGAGTGTGCCAGGGGCTTTTGTTGTTATTATTGTTGTTATTATTGTTGTTATTATTGTTTAGGGGTGTCTTTTCACCAGCTCCTCCCAGAGCATGTGTGCAGACAGACAGCAAACCAGCACATGTCAGTTTACCAAAAGCAGTTATTTTAATTCATGGCCCTTTCTCCAGCAGTCAGCAGGATGCCTTATTCATTTGCCAGCAGGAGGGTAAATCTATTTCAAAATGATTGAAATATTATGCACAGCTTGAATGAGTGTTTAAAATAAATACAGTAGAAGAAACATGTTGTTTGTGAAATGAGAAGATAAATTAAGTTTAGTGCAGACACATTATTCCCAAGCCTGGCTGCTTGGCTTTCCCAGTGAAATCCTTTAGGCCTTAATCCAGCAGGAATGGTGTGGTTTGTTCCCCTGAAGGGCAGGCCAGTCTCCTGAGGCCTTTGCAGGGTATGGAGCAGGCTGTCAGCTCCATGGGGAGCCCCAAAGGCAGGAGGGCACCCCGAGGGAGCAGGACCTGGGCAGAGCTGGAGGAGTGAAGCCCTGCCTGGGTGAAGAGCCCAGCCTTTGTCTCCCAGTATCAGCTCTGTGGTTCCCTCCAGCCACTTCTGCTCAGCAAGATTAAGTTTATTTTCATCCTCTTAACTGAACTTTCTTTTAATGGCAGCAGGGGTGACAGCCCCCAAAATAGCTTTTCTCTGCAGCGTGTCCCGAGGGGTCTGTCCCCGATAACCTCCTTCCTGGCCAGGCCTTTATCTGCAGGGTGACAAACTGCTCTCCCTGGACAGCCAGAGGAAATTCCACTCATTGTTGTGCTGCTGCTGGGCTCAGCCTCAGTTCTATCTGCTGCTGCTGCTGTGGGGCTGCCAGGCCTTCCTGGGGTGGCAACCACGGAAGGCTCACTCTGGGATTCCCAGCCAGCTCCCAGCATCAGGGAGCCTAAGGGAGCCTGACAGCTCTGTCAGCTTTGGATCCATCCCCTCGAATCTCCTCTGCTCCTGGATCCCTTCCAGTGATACCAAAATACACAAAAGAACAATCACCCTTGTCCTGGTGCAGTTCCCTGTGCTGCAGGCTCCAAGGCAGGTGGGGCTGTCAGCACAGGGAGCACAGGCAGCCACCCCAGTGCTGGTGTTTTCTCAGCACAGGCAGCCACCCCACAGGGGACCAGGTGGGGGTCACATCTCAGCACAGGTAACCACCCCACATGGGATCAGGTGCTTTCTCAGCACCCCAAAGGGGATCAGGTGCTTTCTCCTTGAGCTGTGGGAGCACTCCATGCTTCTAGAAATGGAGCAACACCTCCTCGTGCTCACACTGCAGGGACAGAGCAAAAGGTTCCATTGCTGGTCAGAAGAACATTGGAGTTTATGATTTTGAGGGGCCTTTCCAGGGGCAGTACCTGAAGTGCATTGTTTGGGGGCCCTCCAGGCTTTGGAGGTGTGCACCACCTCTTGGGCAGGCATGCAGAGCATTTGATTTCTTTTCCCCACTAGCACTAACATCCCAAACCAGTAATTAAATAGGAATCTTCCCTGACTCCTCATTGCACAGCTGGGTTTGACCTTTCAAATGGATTTGCTGATTTTGTCCAGTGGGGACACTTTTTCTGCTTCTCTTAAAGGCATCTTGATGCATCTCCTCTCCCAGGGGTAAGAGGGGCAGCTTGTGAGCCTTGAGCCCTGAAGTGCCCCTTTCTGGAGACATTGCACCCAGGGAACTGCACAGGAAGCCCTGGGAGGAAATGCAGCAGCAGCTCTGGAAGGATGGAGCAGCTTTTTGGTTCAGACCACTCTGGGACTCATCATTTCACTTCCCTGCTCCCTCTGAGATTTCTGTGCATGACCACTGATTTCTTGATGTTTGTTTTGGGGGATCAAAACTGCCCTTCCAGGCTGATTATATGAAGGGCACTAAGGTGCTGTGGTGGTTGGGACTGTAGAGTATTTTTTACCCTCTTGGTTTGCAAAGTTGCAATGCAGCACAATTAAAATATCAGGCAGTAACTGTGAGTTACCTCAAAGGTCTCACTCCTGTTCTCCATGCTCAGTTCTGGCCCTGGTGCAGCCACTGTTGGTAGCTCTGATGTGTGGTGAGAGCAGAACTTTGTGTGCTGACCTTTCCACCCAGAGTGGAGAAGGGTGTGACAGTGGTGCACAGAGGAAAGAGTGACACAGCTGAGAATTGGCTTTTAAAGTGCTTTAGTGACATAACTGTTCATACCATTGCTCTCTGTACAATGTCAGTGTTTATGTCCCGTGGTACAGATGGCAATTGGAGATACAGAGCAGAGTGATTTGTTCTGAGCCAAGAGAGGAGCTCACACTACACTGGGACCAGGACCTGAACACTCCTGGTTCCCAGAGTTTGATCTCCATACTCACACTGTGCTCATTTGCAGCACAGCTTTCTCTTGGCATCATCTGACCTGCTGAATTCTCCCCTTCTTTTAAAACCACTTAGTCCAGCAGCTTTTAACAGGATTTCCATTTTACCACAGCATTGAAAATTGATGAGTTGAGTTACATCACTGGGAAGAGTTCCCAAAAACTCTTTGGTCTGCCACTAGGACTCTCAGAAACAATGAATTGGGGAAAAAAGCCCTGACTGTGAGGCAGTAGAAATTCACTAAAAAGGTGTTGAAGCTTCTTGTTGCATTTATGTCAGAAATCAGCCCCAGAAAATGTTCAGCACTCCTCAGCTCCCACTGAGCAGGAGTTGTTTCCTGTAGGGATGAACGCTTGGTTGTGGGGGGATGAACAGTTTGGAACCAAATCTGAAGCCAAATGTTGGTAGGAGGCTCCTGGGCTCTGTTTTTATTTGAACAAGACCTTTGTGTTTCAAAGGGGAAGATAATCTCTGTTTGCATTGGGGATTTTTTGGAAGGATACATCCAGAGCTGGGAATTTCCTCTCTTCTCCCACTGGAGGGCTTTCTGCCAGGTGTGAAGGAATGAATGTGTTCCTCATCTCCCCACCTTTCTGGAGAGTTGTCTTCGAATGGTTCCCTATTCCCCATCCAGGCAGCTCCTGGGGCAGTGAAGAGCAGCTGAAGCCTGGGACAGTTGGGAATAAGCTGCAAAATTCCTTTTGTCCCAGAGTGGGCCTCTGCTTCTCCTTGGTTTTCCAGTTATTATTTCCATTTGGCTTTTTCCCTGAAAGGAGTCAAAGGCTTTCAGAGGGGAGAAGTCACATTTTGGAGTTGGAGATGCAGCAGCTTGGGCCAAGCTCTGCCTTCTCTATTTCCTAGGCTTGTCCCATCCCTTACTGCTCTGTCCTGCAGCTGTACCAGTCCCAAAGAAAGAGGGAAGGAATTGTTCAAGAACATTCAAACGTGCTCAAGTTCCAGAGCCAGAGACTCTGTTTTCATAGAGGACTTCGGCAACCAGAAAATTTTTTGAGGTTTTGGCTCCTAAGTCCTTTAGGTTTCTTTAACTTTGCCTTCTGTCTCGCCTTTTCATGTTCTCCTTCCAGCAGCTGTGTATCTTAATTGTCCTAAAATTTCTTTCCATCTTTTCAGGCTTTTTAACATCTTTGCACACCCCTGAAAACTTCAGTGAGTTGGACACTCCAACATAGCAGCTTCATTAAATGTCCTATGGATATAAAAATATAAATTCTATGAAATATATATAGTGTAGTTAAATAGTGATCACTGGTATGCTGCTCCTCTTTGATTGGAGGCTTTTGAGGAAACAAATGCTGGGTTAGAGCAAACCCAAACAGTCTTTCTGTTTTGTTTTACTGATTATTTATTAATCCTCTCAAGACTGAATTCTCTCTGAAAACTCAGCCCCACGAACACCTGGCACTACATTTTTGTGTCACTGGTTTCATTGACTTCAGACAAGACAAAGCCAGGGTTGTCGTAACCCTTCTTCTCTTTGGCTTTGGCTTCCTTCTCATTGTAGAGGCAGAAGGCACAGTGGGGAGTCTCCACGGCCACTGTCTTGCTGAAGTTCTGGAAGTCCACTCTGTATTTCCCTTCTTTGGTCTTGGACACGATGGGAGCAAAGCGGTACCCCCAGAGCACCTCCTCGGGGATGTAGGACGTCCTCACCTGGCAGGTGGCACTGGTGGCCTCCACGGTGCCATCCAAGAACACCACCAGCTCAAAGTCCTGCTGCAGGAGGGTTTCTGCTGCCATGTGGAAGAAGGGGCTGTTCTTGTCTATGATGTGGTAAATGGTGAGGGGCGAGATGAAGAAGAGATTCTCGTTGCCGGCGTCCACCACGAACTCGATGTTGACCTGGTCCAGGATGATGGTCTCCCCCTCGGGGGTGATGGTGGTCCTCAGCAGCTTCCCGTAGATGTGGCTCCCGATCAGCAGGCTCTTGCGGAGGTTGGCCACGCGGATCAGGAGGCAGAGCTTCCCCCCACGCTTGCTGATGACAGCGTTCTTGCTGAACGTGATGGTCTTGGCCCGGTTTTTGGACCTGGAGATCTTGGCCAGGATGGCCCCACACATGAAGGAGTTGATGATGACGCCCAGGATGGACTGGAAGATGAGCAGGAAGATGGCAGTGGCGCACTGCTCCGTGACACACCTGAAGCCGTACCCGATGGTCACCTGGGTCTCCAGGGAGAAGAGGAAGGCTGAGGTGAGGCCGTTGATGTTCTCCACACAGGGGGTGTGGTTGAAGGAGGGGTTGAACTCGGGCAGGTCCTTGTGGATGTAGGCCACGACGTACCAGAGCAGCCCAAACAGGAACCAGCTGCCCAGGAAGGCCGAGATGAAGATGGTCATCTTGTACCTCCACCTGAGGTCCAGGATGGTTGTCCATATGTCGATCAGGAAGACAAACCTGGACTGCTCCACGTTGCCAAACTCGATGTTGCACCTGCCATCCTTGGAGACGAGCCTGGCGCGGCGCCGGCTGCGCTCCCGGAGGCGGCTGCTGAAGCGCTCCCGGAGGTAGCTGAACATCCCCAGCTGCTGCTGACAGGGCTCTGCAGGGCGAGAAACAACCACCAGGAGGGTTTAACCTCTGCCTGCAGCCAGGGGAAACTCTGACACAGGCCCTTGATTAGATCAAAGTGATATAATTTGCATATTTTCCCGCAGTTGGTGGGGAAGAGTTCCAGTGAGCTGGGGAGGAAACTCAAGAGTTCCTTGCCTAAGGAGCATTCCAGCAAAAACCAATCATTTAGGCTTGCTCAATAAACTCTGAGCAGTCAAGTGTTAATATTGTCCTGGGCTCGGTTGTGTAAGTGAAGCCTGGAGCAGCAATAACTCCATCATGGGCATGTGTGGGGGAAACTGCTGCGTTTGGAGACCTCTCTGCCTTTTAGGAGATGAATCCTGGTCTGTTGATGCAGTTTTCTGTTTATCTTGACATTAGGAGACCCTGGATGAAATGTGGATAGGAAATTTAGGGACAAAGGGGAGCAGATGCAGAAAGCATAATTAAGGCAAACAGTTATTTTTAGCGTTGTTAGAGATGAGTTTGGAGGTGTGAAATTCAGACCCTGGAATCACACAAGCATCTCAAATAGGATTATTAAGTGAGAACAAAAGAAAATATGAAACTACAGCAGGAGAATTTGGGTGTTTGCTCACCACAAAGGTGATGCTAAGACTAAGAATGTATTTCTGAACCTGATCCTTTAAAGGAAAGTGTATCTTTCTGTCCCTCTTATTTTGTCCTGTATGTCCAACCATATTAACAAAAGGCCCAGGGAATAAGAGTCATTGATGGAGAAAATGCTACAGATGTGTTCAGACTGGAATTTGGATCACCCTATGTCGGAAAAATTCCAGTGTTGGAGCTCCTCAGACACACAGGTGTGGGGAGAGGCTGATGCCCTGTGGAGTCACACACTGCCTGGGGTGTTCCTGGGCCATCCTGGGGCCTGATTTTGACCCAAAACTTAAGAGTGTTCTCAGAAATGATTGATTTCTGAGTTTATCACCCTTGAAGCATAAAATGTGTTTGGTTGCCAGAGAGGATGTTGGATTAGTGCACAGTGAGCCTGCCCTGGACCCATGTGTGCCTTTTTCTCTTGCTTTTGTTGAACAAAATCCTTCTGAGTGCCTGAATGAGCTGTGTGCTGTGATCGTGTGTCCTGGGGCAAAATGCTGCAGCTTCCAAACAAAGAAAGAACTTGAGGGGAAAATATTCCCAGTGCTGACTCACACAGGGCTGTTCTGGGCCTGCTGGGTGTCTGAGGAGGAGAATCCCCAGCCACACAGAGTGAGGTTTGGGCTCCTGCAGCTGCCAGGGGATGCTTCCTTTGGGAGAGCTGCGAGTGCACCTGGAACGAGGAGATGTTGAGGGCTTTGTGTTTCTGTTGTCACTTTGCCTTCCCAATAGGGAGGGACAGTAAAACAAGCCTTAGGGATGACATTTTTAGAGCAAGCTAAAGATGCTACACCCTTATATCAAACCCTGCCTCCTATCACCAGCCCACCCAGGCTTCCTTTTGGGCAGCAGCAAAATGCTCGGGCTCAAATTGGTGGCAAGAGCACTGCTCAAGTTTTGCTTGATTTCACGCGCTTAAGTATTTGTGGCAAGAGCTGTTTACCTCTCCTAAACTCTAATTTCATGTATCCAAAATGAGGATAATCCCAAGTGAGCTGTTAGACACTGGAGGGAGTTTCTTGTGAAATTTGTCTTATTTAAATGCAGCCATTTAAATTGTGTGCCAGTTGTACAGCTGACACAGGGACTCCAAGTGCCCCCTCTGAGGGTCCCCTTGCCACCACAACAGCTCTATGAAGTCAAGAATTGCTGTTTGGCAAAGTCCCTTAACCCTGTAATATTAATTTAAAGAAGCTGCCTGATGTCTCAGCTGGCCAAAGCAGAAATCCTCCCACTGGACCCAGTTATAGGCACCAGAAAACACCTTCACAGGGGTCAATCAGGAGCAAAGAGAAAATATTAAATGATCAAGGACGGAGTCTAAGTACAAAATAATTGCATTTTGTAAAGCCAGAAGTAATTCTATTATTTAATGTCCTTGTTAGTATCAGCAGCCCTAAGAATAAACTCATTTCTATGTCTCTTACAGCTGCCTTCTTTCTGCACTTGGACTGAATCACCTTCCTCCCCTGCTCAATAAAAGAAAGAAATGAAGGTCACTTTGTACTGTACCTTTTCACCCTTTTGCTGTTGAATTTATTGGTTGCATATGGAGCTGACAGAGGTTAAACTTTAAGCCTGTATTCAAGGAAAGGGGAATGAGTCACACTTTCCTGAGCAATTCTCAAGTTTTATTTTCCTGATGCATTTTTAATATGTCCATGTTAATGCATAGTTTGAACAGAAATAAAAGATTCCTGTGCAACACATTATTCCAAGAAATGATCCAGGGTTTAGACTTACTGTGCAAAAGCACCCAACTTCAGCTGGCCCTTGTGTTCATTTTCTGCAGGAATGTGAACATTGGCTTTACCAGAATGGCACGGTGAAATTCTGGGATGCCTCACTTTGTACATCATGAGTTGCACTTGCACTCCTTAGGCATAGAGGGGCTCCTGACCTCAGGGAATGGGTGTGGAGGGGAGAAATCTGCAGGAATTCTGGTTCCTGATCTGCCCATGTCCTCGCAGCAGGGGTGATGACAAATCACTGTCACAGTTCTGATCCAGCTCCACTGACACCTCCTGGAATTCGGGTGAGGATCTGAACAGATAACAGCCACAGAAGAGCTGAGAACAAGATGCTCAGCCTGGATCCTTGAAAACAAGTCCCCAGCTCCAGCATTCTTCTCCTGCCTCTTTAAATTATCCATGGCCCCTTCTAAGGCTCCTTTACAAGCCCTCCTTAAGCTACCCTGGAGCAGATCAAAGAGGCAGAAGAATTACACCTCTCTTCAGGCAGGTTGACAAAGGAATTCTCCTTTCAACAAATCCTTTGCCCCCCCACACAGCTGAAATGTGTTGATTTGCTTCAGCAGGAGAAAAATTCCCTCCTGGATAAGCATGCTGTGAGCATATCACCGACTGTCTGGAGGAGATTATAAAAAGTTATATAATACAGCAATTAAAAGCCTGTTAATTCAAATCAGCAAAGGTGCCTGACTACCTGCTAGCTAATGTTTACCAGGATATGTTTCCTGTTGGGCCCAAGTAAACAGGGCAGTGCTGTCTGTGTGGAATTCTGTGCTGTGGGACTCAGGGAATGCTGCTGTCCCCAGGCATGGAGTGTTTACGGAGGGTGCCCTGCTCAGTTCCTGCACAGGGGCACATTCACCAATAAAAACCCCAGGAACAAACACGACCTGTCAAGGTTAGCTGTGGAAACAAGGAGCTCCCACTTCCCTGGCCCAGTCTTTTGTTTCCCAGTGATCACCAGAGGAAGGAAAAAGTTCCATGTTTCCATTCTCAGCTTTCCCAGCACTCCAGCAGTGCCTCCACCCCAAATATCTGAGCTGTTCCCTGTATTTCTGCCTGCTCTCTGCAGCCCTGCAGGTGGGTGACACCAACCCTGGCAGGTCTGAGCAGCTGGAGCTCCTCTGCTCCCTCAGGAATGTTACTGAGTGCTTCTCTTTGCCCTTGCTTCCTTTCAGCTGGTCTGTTCTGAAAAGTTTGGACGTGGGGGATAACGACATTCAATTGTTCCTTGGGTAAGTTTTAGTGCAGGGAATTGGCTTTAATCCCAGCCACGTGCAGCCCTTGAGGAGATCAGAGGAGGGAGGAAGGAAAAGGTGTTGAATATTTGATGGAGGCCTGATAAGAGCAAGGTTCCATCTCCTGCTCTGTCCCTCAGTTTGGTGTCTGTGGCTCCAGACTCCTTCCCTCCCTGCAGCAGAGGGTGAGGGAGCCAGGCTGGCACCAGGGATCATTAGGGGGAGACAGAGCAGCTCCTGAGCCCGCAGCCTGCCTGGAAACATCTTTGTTAGGGATTCAGAGGAAGTTCTAAGCAGCTTAGCTAGAAGAAAGGGGATACAGAGTTAAAGGATTATTTTTTTTTCAGTCCTGTTCAGTTCTTTGCAAAACTCAGATCTTCTTTCAGTCCTTTCTGTGTTTTTCTTTTTGTTGAACTTTCTCTGAACAAAGTACGTGAAATATCCAATTCCTAATACCTTATCAAATCCGTTTTTATTAGAATACCAAACTCTAACACTTACTCTGATGGTGTGTTATCTGCTGTCTGCTCCACTGCTGAGCCCTTTGGGGAGGAGAGCTCCTCTGCCCTGTGCTAGCTGCCCAGGGCAGGGATGGGATGGGATGGGATGGGATGGGATGGGATGGGATGGGATGGGATGGGATGGGATGGGATGGGATGG